AGATACTTATCTACAATTTAGCAAAAAATCAACAATTTTAAAAAGCGAAACTATACGTTGGTTTATTCATAGATATTTAAATCACTCGATAAGTAATTTAGAAAAAAAAAAGATTTGAATGGGAAATAAAAGAATGCAACATCACTATTGTGATGTATTTTTTTTTTCTCTCTCTCTCTCTCTTTTCTCTCACTCTCTCTCATGGAAAAGGAGAGGTAGTGTCGCGTATGGATTATGGACTATCCCCCTAAATTTATGTAAATTACATAAATAATGTGCATTCAATCATTCCTAGTTGTTTTCCTAGCACCAGCACTTATCTTTGTGGCTGACAGTGGAGCTGGTGCTGTAGTTGTACATGTAGTTAACCAAGCTCGGAAATTCAAGTTTAGATACACTTAAGAAAGCCAAATCATTTACTCCTTGGGGAATAATAACTGACAACCAGGGTCGTATTCTGTCAGCAGACTGTATTCACATCCTAGACCAGGATGGAAAGTTCCTCCGTTATATAGATAACTGTGATCTGCAGGATCCGTATGATATATGTTTGGATAAAAGTAACAATCTGTTTGTTACAGAGTATCTAAGTGGAAATATTAAGAAAATGAAATATCTGAAGTGGAACAAATACATCTGAAGTAATACAATTGTATTTGAAATATATAAATAGCAATTGATTTGACTCCAAATTTATCTATTTTTATATACAACTACATGTTGTAAACCATATAGAATGCTAAAATTAGCAAAAAATAATTAATTTTCAAATAATGAATACAATTCTAATGTTTTTAAAGATAATTAAAAGTACGCATTTCATAGCATGTGGAAATGGTTCATTGGATGGTGTGTGAGTTCAGGAACTCCACGACTGTAACATAATTTATGTTTATTGCATTAAATGTAATGGATTCTTCTGCATACTACTATAATGATTGTACCTATAATCAAGTACACACTACTAAATCAAAACAGTTCTCATATTCATATCTTTCGGTGAATTAATATTGGTACCAGTCAGTAGAATGTTGAAAATTAGAATACCTTTGATCAAATTCGTTTTATTCAAACATTCAAGAACTAGTATAATCAGAGAGAGAGAGAGAGAGAGAGAGAGAGAGAGAGAGAGAGAGAGAGAGAGAGAGAGAGAGAGAGAGAGAGAGAGATGCAATGAATGTCTTTTTCTAAGATTGTTAAAAAGTGCACATGTACCATGCAAGATGCAAGTAGGATGGCACCAAAAAGTGGTTATTAGAGATTAGTCTTCCAACCATCTGTCGGGATTCCCATGGGTACCAATTGCGTCCCGTTACTAGCACTTTTGTGTTTATATGAAACAGAATTTATTAAAAACTTCTACAGCAGAAAAAGAAGACAATTGCTGTGGCCTTCAACTCGATATTTATATATATCGACGACGTAATATCAATAAGCAATAGTTACCTCCATTCATATGTCGATATATCCCAGCGAACTCAAAATAAAAGATACCACAGAGTCTGACATTTTGGTTTCATATTTGGATATTTTACTAGAAAAGACCATTAATGGTATCCTAACAACAAAAATTTATGATAAACGTGATGACTTCAGCTTTTCTATCGTCAACTTCCCTTACTTATGTACTATCACGAGCCTGCTCCACGTAGGAACAATTTCTAAAACGAGGCAAGCTATGACAAATAAGTTTATGAAACTAGGATATCAACAATCTCGTTAAAGGTAACCATTTCGCAAGTTCTATGATCGATAAAATGACCTTGTCAACATATACAATTTATCATTAAGTCGAATACTAGCTGGCGTTTTTTATACTAATTGTTAGGCCATTATTTAAACACTGAATTGTCTAAGGTTGTTTCCGTTTGCCCTATCATGACAATGAGCATACGGCGGGTGGGACCGGTCGACAGGGAATGCTCACTCCTCGACGGCACCTGATCCCACCTTTGATGATTTTAGAGGTCCGTGTTTGCTCTGCTCCAAAATTTATTGTTTCAGTGGACTTTATAGATTGATTACTGTTTGTTAGCTTCATATTTAAATCTGTAAATAATGCATGCCCCCTTTTTTCTCTAAATTTTTGTTAAAAATCAAACTAATTTGTGTTCTTCTTATTATATATTTACTTTTTAAATGAAAAACTAAAGCATTCCAAATTTACTTTAGGGTAAAAATGGAGAGGAAAATTATGCCCTGACCTTGATAAATAATTCAAATTAAACAATGTTGGTATATTAGTATTGTATATAATCAAATAGATTATAACTTTTAGTTTGATAGTATATATATACTTTTAACATGTATTCAAGAGAAATAAAATAATGAATATATCGAGGGGCGGAGCCTCACCAGAAACCGTCAATCAACGACTGTGATGAATCGAAAAAAATGTTGGATGGGCTTTGCATTTTGATCATCGAAGTAATTCTCTATCACTTGAAAACGAGCCCATATTATCTTCATAGTGTAAACCTTCTTTGGGTATATGCAGTTAAATTGACAAGTGCAGTACTTGGCAGCTATAAAGTACATAATACACCTGCTTGACTGCGCAGCCACAGGCTTTAGAAGTTCACCCCCCCTCCCAAAAAAAAAAACCCAAACAAACAAACAAAAAACAAAAACAAAATGTGCTTGTGAAATACTGATTCCTCCGTATGGCAGCTTATTGCAAAGGTCATTAAATGCAAGTCAAACTCCAAGGTCAAGGTCAAGAGATCAAAATTGTTGATACCCAAAGAAAGGACTTGTGTCAATGGATATACCTGGTAAATATGACAGTCAAATTCAGAAGTTATGGTCAAGGTTATTGTTTTCTTAAAGTGGGTCAAACTCCAAGGTCAAAAACAAAGGGTCAAAATTAATAGTACGCAGGGGAATACCTTGTCGTAAGAGATTGCACATGTAAAATATAAAAGCCGTAGCACCAACTTTTCAAAAGTTATGGCGAATTAAGGTTAAAGTTTTTCAAAAGTAGGTCAAGCTCCATGGTCAAGGTCAAAAGGCCAAAGTGTTTTGGTATCCAAAGAAAGGTCTTCTCACAATATACAATATGTCTGTAAAATTTAAAAGCCCCAGTACTAAATGTTCAAATGTTATGGACAAGGTTAAAGCTTTTTAAAAGTGGGTAAAACTCTAAGGTCACTGTCTAAAGGTAAAAAATATTTACACCCATGGAAAGGTCTTGTCACGCTAAATACACACGTGAAGACTGAAGTATTAAAGGCGTAGAACCAATTGTTCAAAAATTATGGACAAGGTTAAAGTTGGGAAACTTTTTACAAAAGAGGATCAAACTCCAAGGTCAAAAGATTAAATATGTTGGTACCCGAAGGAATTCTTGTCACATGAAATACGCATGTAAAATATCAAGTTTTCCTGGCACGGAAGATATAAAAATTGTGGAAAAGCCTGAAAAATGATTGATATTTCGGACTAGCGATCTGCAAGAAATACGTGGAAATTCTCGGATCCCTCGTTTAAAGTTTAACATGTTCAAAACCGATTTGCATCAGATCGCCGGTGTTGTCATACTCAGAAATATCTCAAGTATATCCCTGGTTGTCGACAGATCCTATGTCGAGATACTGAAGTTTAACTGTATTTTATATTAATGTTAAACATCTTTAGAATTAATATACATATTTAATAAACAGTATCTTACAGTTTTTATCTGCAAAAGTAAAGAACCCGTGAAGCCAGTTCAAAGACAAGATGTGTTTGTGAAACACTGACGCCCCCGTACGGCAACTTATAGCAAAGGTTAAACTTTCTCAAATGCAAATCAAATATGTTGGTACAAAAAATAAGGTCTTGTCTCGAGGAATATACCTGTGAAATATGAAAGCCCTAGCTCAAGTCAATCAAAAGTTATGGGCAATATTAAAGTTTTTGCGGACAAACAGACAGACAGCTAGACAAACGGACGGACAGGGCAAAAACTATATACCCCCGAATCTTCGATACAGGGGCATAAAAAAGATATTTTGTATTGGGTTTAAACGCAGTAAAGATTGCGTTGAAACACAAAAGATCGCGTTTTAAAGCAATAATCATTGTGTTTAAACGCTAAAGATTGCGTTGTTGACTTAAACGCAATAAATTATTTGCGTTAAAGCGCAAAATAATTACAATTAAATGCAAAAGATTGCGTTAAATCGCAATCTTTAGCAATTAGATGCAAAGTGATTTGCGTTTAAACGCATTGAAGATTGCAAATAAACGCCATCTTTTTGCGTTTTAACACAAGGACACAACGTATAAAAGTATTAAGATATTGCTGTAGGTACAAACTTTGATATGGAGAAACATAGAAACCTTATTCTTGAGAAAAAAAGTTGAACCTTACTCAAGAGCATGCCCTGACCCTAAGAAAGTCATTTACAAGATAGAGGTCAGGATTTTAGAAGAATATGAAATTCTTTCCTCGGCCATAACTCGAGTTCAAGGACTCGCCCTAGGATTCTTTACATTAATGAAAGCATCCTGATTACAAGTTTAACCTATAGTTAAAATTTGAGAACATGTGGACCTCTAATCTCAGTATGTACGTAAAGATATTTTACAAGACTGGGAAATGAGTTCGCAGAAATCAGTTATATTTTCCTCGCAGACATGTGAGAAGAAATGTAAATCAGGTCGCGGGGGGGGGGGGGGCAGATTCCAAAACAAGCAATAAAATGTTCATATATAGTATACTTTCAAGGAGGTGCAATCGTTAGATAACAATTAACAATGGCTTTCAATGGTATACTATATACTGGCAAAACTATTAGATACTTTTGTACCCCTCTCTTGTTTAATACAGGTATGCTCTGGTGTCTTTTAAAGCGCACCAGCAGTGTGTAGTTTCTTTTCCTTATCAACAAATCACAACATACCAGAAGAACGTAAAATAATTAGATGGGAGTGTTTTAAATACCAACGTTGAACAAAAATCAATTCAACAGTGGATGTTTAAATTCGCCATCACAGATAATTTTTCGCTCTATGATATGTTGAATACAAGCTTAGGTCAGTGTCCATATGCAGATTGGGAAAAATCGGCAAGATCTTCTTGCATTCCTTTGGAAAGATTTCATTGTTTGAAAGATGAGTTTGAACGAAATGGATGGATTTGCATCGACCCAATATGGATCGAAAGTGGTAAGGTACATTTAATATGCATAGGCTCTCCCACCTTAAATCGAAAAGAAAAAAATGCACTATAAGTCAACAAATTCTACCAAATTGGTACATGTATTAAGTGCTCCTCATGTCGTACCTATACTATTGATTCTCTTCAAGGTAAGGAGTACAACGTAACATTTTAAATTCATATTGAGTGCATGAGTTTGGTCTATTTAACCATGCCGGAAGTAATCATTTTTTGCATGACATACTTAAATAATAACTAGTTTTAATCTAAGAATATAAATTTTACAAATCATATCATATTTTTCAAGCGTAGTTTCAAACTTTAGGCACTTGCATACGTGATCAAGGTAATGATCAAATGAATAAATTTTAAAAAAAATTGTACGAATATTATATACTGTAGGTAGATGTCCAGTTTTCAATTCTGGAGCAAAGAAGTTAGATTCTATTAGATGTAATGGAGACGACTGTCCACTAAAGAGCTACAGATCGAATGAAATTTACATTAGTGAGTATTACTGTAGAAAAAAAAAACTATTCAGAGAAATTATGTTTGGTTTTATGGGAATCGATATAGACATGACTGTGCATAGAAACAAGTTACTTACAAGATGTTTAGTAGAAATTGCAAATAATACATATTAAAACTGGCTTTTAAAATAAGGTGGTATCTTTAAACGAGCTTATGCGAAATATCCACTTAAACTTTATAATCTTTCGTGTTGAAACATAACTATGTATTTGCAAATCGTAAAAAAAGATGACAAGAGGTTAAAAATAGAAATGGCCGACGTCAATTAAAGAGAACAAAAAAATGATTGTTTTGCCTGAAGTAACATATTTTTGATAAGACCTAAGAGAAATTGATACTTTAAAATGAATAATAACAATAGATTTTCTTTTAGTTTGTCCAGCATAACAAATTAATGTCGATGCCGCTGAATTGTAAATGCGTAATTTTATCGTAATTTAAATAGTATCTGAATTTAATACGCCCTTTAATACCAACAAAGAAACTCCATTGACCTACACTGTCTCAGTGACAATGAGCTGAAAATCTTTGATGCTGTTAAATCTTTGGAAGGATAGTGTCTCCACCTGTATGTTTTGTCGACTCACTTGTTTTACAGTAGTAAAGTAGTACAGTTTTACAGATTGTACTGAAATTTGACTTTGAGGCGAAACCATTAAAAACTCAATTGTTCGAATATTTCTCTTTACCAATTCTATTTAGAAAATTCTTCTCTGCAATAAGTCAATCTCAAGATTTTTCAAGAAGATCTCTATAATATAATCATACACAAAAATACTCAATGGGAAATCATGTAGATTTGCATTTGTAGCGGTGTTTTTCTTTTCTTTTATTTTTTTACTCTGTGAACTTTACATCAATAGTGACCATGGTATTATAAGAATGAAAAGAAAAACGAAGATAACGAACAGTGATTGATCTAAAAAAAAATATATACAATACAAATGTGTGAATAGGACATAAAACACGGACCGACGGAAATTTCAGAGGTGGGATCAGGTGCCTGGAGGAGTAAGTATCCCCTGTTGAACGTACACACCTACTGCGAGCCTTATGTATTGAACAGGTAGACAAACAATTCCACAGTCAAATTTAATGTAAAGACAAACGTCTAACAATTGGTATGAAACACGTCAGCCAAAATACGACCCAATGATAGGTTATGTTTATTAACAAGGCCATTATAACGACTATAGAATTAACGCAGTGCTGACTTAAAACGAAGTTGTTGAAATACATGTCATTAGTCTGCCTCGATTTTAAGGAAGTTGACAATGGAGAAGCTGAGGTCAACCCGTTTGTCATAAATTTTAGTTGTAAGATGGCCCGTATTGTCTATAGTCAGTATCCAAATATGAAACAGATGTGGAAGACTCTGTGGTGTCTTTTATTTGGGATATATCAAGTCTACATATGAATGGAAGTAACTATTATTTATAGATAAAACGTCGTCGATATATCTAAATGTCGAGTTGAAGGCCACGGCAAGTGTTTTCTTAACATGTAGAAGTACTTAGAATAAGTAAATTCTGTTTCATAGGAATATAAAAATATGTCTGCTAATAAAGTAGTACAATTAGTGCCCATCGGAATTCCAACAGTTTGTTGAAAATATCATTGTTGGAAGATCTTAAAATTGTCTCCGAACACTGCGTAACTGTTGTCAATGAGGAACAGCAGCATCCTTTTGATATCAACTACAGAGAACTTATATGTAGAATCAGAGTGATTTTTACAAAATAATTTTGACCAATTACAAGATACGAAAAATTCCGAGTTCCATTTTTATTAAGAAGAAGTTGTCTGTGATATCAAAAAGCCTAGATTTTGTATGAACTGATAAGAAAGTCTGGTCTATAATGTTAATGCACTCATAGCTTGCCATCATTATTTCACTCTAAAAATCACACTCCGAAAGCTATGCTTCGATGCGTTTATTTTGACTCAGGTATAGATCAGCTACTTCATATGGTACAAATATTTGGGTTTTGTGCTATATTACTTTGAATCTTTAGTAATCTTTAAAACGATAAGAAGTCAAGTCAAAGCATATTCCTCTGATCCTTCGATGTATTTGGCTCCAGTCTTTGGCACCCCCTTTTTAGCTTTTGAAATATTTCGAATTTCCTATGTTTAGGCATGAGCATCACTGAAGAGACATAATTTGTCGAAATGCGCATCTGGTGCATCAAAATTGGCACTGTAAATGATTTACATTTTGACCCCTGGGTGGCGGACTGATAGTCCTCAAGGGTTTCTACAGCCCAGTAGCTAAGAACTCCGGTACTAGCTAGGAAATATGAATAAATATTTAATTGCTGTGGTAAAATTCAGAATTTTTTTTTTTAAATTAACGATTATCTCCCTCATGCATAGCCCTGATCCTTTGATGTATTTGGCTCCAGTCTTTGGCACCCTTTTTTTCAGCTCTTCAAAGTTTTTTTAATATTTATTTGTTGACATGCACATCTGGTGCATCAAAATTACATGATTAACGTACATATATATGACGTAACCGTGATTGATGTTGTAATGCTCAACTGAAAGTGTGAATGAAGATTTTGTTAAAATTTAGTTCCCCACTCTAACAGAGCTAAGTTGTTGAATCATCAGAAGTTAGGGATAAATTCAAGGGAAGTCTTATGCATAGTTGTTGATGGAAATAATATTTTCCTTTATTATGTTTACAGTGAATTGCATGTCAATCTTATTCATACCAGACACATTACTGTGTTAATACTTTTTTAACTTACAATAACTACAGCCTTATCTCTATATCTATATCTAACTTGATATATCTTGGTTTCATAATTTCAAAGAGTCTATAATTAAACACTATTTTTTTTTTAAAATTCCATTCCCATTCCAGTATGTACATCCTCGTTAATATACCTGTAATACTTGCCCTCTGAGGTAGAAATAATAAAAAAAAAGAATAGAGGTTACGCGTTATGTGATGCTATAAAAAATATAATCCCTGATTTAAATTGGATAATTATGGGAGCTTTATGGACCGGGGCACCCTAGGTCTGGGTGGGTCGGTGATTTGAGCTTTAGCAAACAAGCATAGGTTCATGGTTATAAATCCGGTCCAGCCATAAATGTTCGCATTTCCTGGTGTATTTGGTTTTTATGAGGCTATAGGCAATTTAGGAGGGGAAGAATATTGTGGTTTGGACTTTTTGGACTGTCATCGGCCTGGATAGCTGAATAGTGAGAACACTTGCACGACTGTACATTTCAGGTTCTATTCGGGTCCAGCCATTTATGTTCTCCTTTCCTGCATCACTGCTTGGTTATCATCGCCATTAAAAACTGGCAACTGTATCAAACTTTAACATTTAAGTCCACCACGTGTAACTTCAGTAAATAGGTGAAACGTACTGGAAGACCATTTTTAAACATAGTGAACAATTTAAATTTGGTTATACATCACTATATTTCTGAGGTAACGCTGCCAAGATTCACATTAATCAGCTTATTTTTCATGATTTCTGATGAAATATAAACTTAATGATTTCATAATCAACATCATAAGACAGACAAGAAAAAATACAAAGCTAGATATCTAGACAAGTTCAATGAGCACTTATTAGCTAGATAATGTTTAATTTGAGTAAATTTGAATTGAGGGGTACTCCTTCACTCGAGTATGAAATTACGCATTTGTATAATAAAGACAGAGTTCTTTAAAATAAAAGCGACATCCCAATATTTGAATATTTGCATAAGCGTATTAAATAACACATTTAACATTTACAGAGGCGTTTACTTTTTTTTTTTTACCGTTTAATGTCATATGTTATTTGATAAATAGAATGACTCATAATTTTGTTTTAATTCTTTATTTTAGAAAAGGCATGCCAGTGGCATTATCCTTCAAGGTAACCTTTATTTTCTTTCAAAATATTTATTTATATAAAGTTGACTTTCTGAGAGCAAGAACGCAAGGTTTCAAACCTTGCTGGTCCATAAATGAGTTTAAACAAAAAGCTCAAGACCCGTTAATATAACTTAGAGCCAAAATATTCAAAAGATAAAAGCAAAACTGCATTTCAAGTGCACTCATGCATTAACAACATAAATACATGTGGTTCAGTTTTTGTATTATCTTGTTTGTGGAAAACATTGGTTCAGATAAATGACTACTTTCGTGAATAAACACTGTCAATACATATTGGTTCTCATTGACAGGATAAACTGATATTCTTTCATCATCATTAAAGTGACACCATGACGCACAAAAGGGAAAATTGACAGATATAATTTTTTTGCATGACCAATTCAAATTTTGTTCAATTCTTGTAAGTATTAGGTTTCAGAAATTGGCAGGATTCTGAACATAAAAAAATCTACTTTTATGAAGAAAAAATAAAACAATTTTTGTCTGCCTCAACACGAAAAAAAAAAAAATTATTTTTCCACTTTTGTGTACGCGTGCGCAAAATAGTTGAAGAAATTACCGTGGTGTTAGTTCCATTAATATAGAAGTCGGATGACCGAGGATTTTTTATGCAATCTTAAAAAAAATTGGTCTGAACTTATTCCTCACTTTTGCTTGCTCAAATTCAATCTTGTTTAGCAGTTTTACGCTAAAAATTAAAAAAAAAAGCTGTGCGACTTTGAAATTGTTGACTTTGACGATAACAACCACGCGAATAATACAACCTTTGTTTTTCCGACAGTTACATTTTGCAGTATTTTCTTGCTTGACAGTCCAGTTGAGTTGTCAAAACTTCGCATTATTCATATTTCTCATATACATGTATCTTTTGCTTTATGATACAATTATCTTAAAAGAAACACATGACTTTGACTCATTATATATCTTCGATTTTTCATTTATCAAAGTTTGCAATATGAAAACTAGCTTTCAAAATTAGATAATTTACGATAACATATTTTTGTTTCAATCGAATGTTATTTAATGAAATCCAATGTATTTTTCCTTGTAAATTATAAGGTTTGCATCATTTTCAAATTTCAAATATATGTCACTGTGTTTAATTTGTAACGATATATTAGGAATTACTGATGGTTTGCATTTAAGTACATAGGATATTTTTACATCTAAATACCTAGGATATCAGACATTTTAATACCGAGGATATTACACTGAGGCCTGAAAGAAACGTCATATACAGTTATATACAAATATTTGAATAATTTCATCTATTATAATCGCAATTAACACAGATTGTAACAGTAAGAGATCATTTGATTTAAAAACAACGGGGATTTCATTGAAACATTGATTTTTATCTTAACTTTCAAAAAAAGTAATAGATATCTCTTAATAAATCTATTTCCCCTATTAAATTACAGCGAGTACGTCCACCACGCGCATGCGCAACGGCTGCAGCGCAAATTCTACGATGCATTGATTTCATGGTCTCTTGATTTTCGCGAAAGAAAGATTCTACCAGTCATTTTGAAAAAGAACGAATTTTCTCAGATGCTTAAGTCGAATGCCTTTACCCTGGTGCAGCGTAGTAATGCTTGGTTTTCCGGTCCAGGGACTGTCAGTCAAGCTAGTGAGATGTACACAAATGTAGAGGCTGATATATTGCATCTTCAACATTACATTTTATTACTTCATTATGAGAATTTCCTGCTAGGAGCACTTGGATTGTACAATTGCAGTCATTTTCAGGAAGCTTTGGCTTCACTAATTTTAAAGGAAAAGAAATGAGAACTATTTTTTGACATAATGTTATAATACTTATGATAAACGAAAACAAACTCTTTTATACCAAAATTATAGTCATTTCTTTAATTTTTTTGTTGATTGATTGATTGTTTGTTGTTTTACGTCCAATTCGAATTTTTTTTTACTCATATAGAGACCTCACCATATACCGGTGAAGGGCTTCAAATTTAGACCTATACTCGGCACTTAGGGCCATTTAGCAGTGAGGGTTCCTTATCGTGTCAAGCTACCGTGACACGGGACATCGGTTTTTAAGGACTCATTCGCAAATTTTATGGTCGATACTATGACTTTATTAGCAAATACAATTTATCGTTAAGTCGAATGTTGACTAACGTTTTTCATATAAATTGTTAGGCCATTATTTTCACACTAAATTGTCTACAGATTTTCCGTTTGCTCAATCATGTCAATGAGCAACAGCGCTTGTGACCAGTAGACAGGGGATGCTTAATCCTCCGTGGCATCTGATCCCGCCTCTAATGATTTTTTCTAGGTCCGTGTTTGCTCTTCTCCTTTGTAATGTTCCGATAGATATTTCAACTTGATTACTTGTTTTTGTCTTCAGATAAAATATTTTATAGACCAATTGAGTTTTAAGCACATATATAAGACATGCGGAAACTACATTTAGAATGTGTTTCATATGAAAATATATCTACATGCGAATTATCTGTTGTTATTGAAAAGAATTGATTATTTCACAGAAGAGTTCTGATATTTGGAACTCTATCTGTATAAAGAGTCAACTTTTTTTATGTACAATGAACGACAAAACTATACTTGGAGTGAAATATGAAGATAACAAACAGTTATCAAGCTCAAAAATCCAATAAAAAGTACAAATTATGAGCAGAAGAAAATAGGACGTCTGAAAACATGAGAGTTGGGATTCGGTGCTGTGGATGAGTGAACATTCCCTGTTGACTAGTCCCTTTCTCGTGATCGGGTATATAGGGAAATCCATAGTGAATACATTATGAAAGAGGCCTATTAAGGCGAAATATCTCTGTGCTCCAAATTTCACCATTTTCTTTTTCTTTTTTTAATTTCCAAAATTGGTTTTCATCAACAACAATAGAATTAGATTCAATTGGAAAATAGTTTGAAGTAGGAAGCGTTGCTTACTTTTTCAGAAATGAATATTATGTCTAATCATAATACGAAGAAAATTTGATATGGTGAATAGAAATATCAATAATTTTTTTTTTTATCTCACCCTAAAATTAAGAATATGAGGTACATATGAAAATAATATTTACTATAATCACACCTATCTAATTCCCATTAGAAAACATAACGAAGCGTTGCTTTTTAAATCACATTGTTTTTGTGCTTGTAAAATAAAAATGCATCCAACTATGAGAGTTTTCTTTCCATTTACAGGAGTTATCATTTTAGTGAAAAAAATTTAATTAATTGATTGTAAAAAAGTCTGATTAGCCTGCAACTGAAATTTCTGTAACAATTAAAAGAATTTTATGCTAAGAGATAGAAATAGCTCAATTTTAACAGTTTAAGGGAACTGAGTATAAATGTTCTAGGTAAACTATTACAAGTAATTAATAAAAATATAAGCAATAAAAAGTAGAAATCAATATTTGTAACTTAACTCGGATTTGAATGAGTTGACTATATAATGGTCCTCATTATTAAACTCTGGTAAGACAATTCATTGGATTTCTTGGAATAATTTCCTTGGAAAGTTATTTCTCTTATCAGAGGGATATTACACCTTAAGCTGTATGAAAGAGAATTCTGGCTTAAAACGATATTTAAGAAACCCTTTTATACTAATCATATTTGTAAGCAGTGTGCCTCTTTTAAGAAATTGTCCGAACATATAAGAGGGATATTACACCTTAAGCTGTTTGAAAGAGAATTCTGGCTTAAAACGATATTTAAGAAACCCTTGTATACTAAACATATTTGTAAGCAGTGTGCCTCTTTTAAAAAAAGGTCGTAGTTCGATTTATATGACGTCATTGATATATCAAAAGATCGAAATCTTTTCATATAGAAGTTTGAATAAATCCTGCTTTTATAAGAATAATAAAATAAAAAGAGGTCGCTAATAATAGGGCACAGTTCGTACCAATGGGAATTCCAACATATTGTTGAAAATCCGGTCTGCATGTAGTCAAAGGTAAAAAATTATGACGTCATAGACTGACTTAATTTTTTTTTGCATTTTTTATAGCTCTAAACTATTTGATATACTTTAGTCATTTTCACTCATATTTGCCCAAGTTAAACTTGTTCCATTTCAATCATTTCAATCATTCTTTTGATTTATTGACAAATTTGAATCATTCATTTTCTTTAAAGAGGTCCTAAAGTGTAGAATATATACAATTCCTGAGCTATGTATCTTTAATTTTTATATCACAGTGTTGTCAAATACACTGGTATCAAGACATTTTCATGCATTTTAGTAATAAAGATGTTACTTTCAAAAAAGCATCTCACACATTTGTTATATATCAAATGATATTTTTCAAATCATGCACATTCTGAATTCATTGTTTTCTTATAGGAAAAAAAGTCATATTTTAAACTTTGTAGCAAAAAATGTGTGGATGAATTTTTTTTTCATTTTATGCAAAAAAAGAATTTGATATGAACGTTTAAAAACAAATTAAAATGAGAAAAAATTTGGTCTACCTGTTTTGTACTATTCTTATAATACTTATTGTACACGAAATTTTAGCATATACAATATCTACCTTAATCAAGCAAATATCCACGCCTGTAAGGCAATAAATATATAAAACACTATACATGTAAGATAAATTATTTAATGACAACATACAAAATCTCTTTGTGAGCCAAGTGATGGAGAACATGTTTGAAATAAAGAAACTGGTTTGAGATTAAGGAATAAGGAGTATATATAACATATGCTGTTTGTCTTCTCGATAAAGGGAACAAATGATGATAGAATATGTGTCCTTGTGTTTGTAGTGGAAAGAAGAATGAAACAGAAAAGTCCAGTAGTCCTGGTACTGATGTTGGCGAAGCCTCGCACCTTGGACTTTATATAGCTATTGGTGTTGCCATTCCATTGATTCTTGTTCTTGTAGCAGGCATTGTGTTCTTAATCAAAAGAAATAAACGTAAGTACATTACACGTGTTAAAACATATTTTCAGCTGTTACAAACGAACAAACGAAAAAGAATTATACGTATTATTAGCAACCAACCTTTAATTTGTAAACTATAAGAATTTCATTCTGATATTTCACCTATTTCTTCTCTTCACTTCTTAATTATTTGAGTGTGTAGCCACAGGTACTTGTGGACAGAAAAAATAACGTTTTACTAAATAATCATACCCGCTGTATTATAAAATACCGCGGGTATGATTTTTTTAGTAAAACGTTAATTCTGCGTTATCTTTTGGATTTATTTTATGGAATACATTGTAAATGTGCACTAGAAGAATAATTTATGAAAAAAATACATAAAAATATTTTTTCACCTGTGGGGTATATTCGTTGTGGTGGTGGTGGTGGTGGTGGTGGGGGGGGGGGTTCCTGTCCACAAGTACCTGTGAATTCAGTAAAGATTATTTAGACCCACAACAGTTAAATATGACATACAAGGAGTTGATCCTTACGTCCCACTGTGGGACGAGGAGACATGTCAACTGGATACCACTTATACCGAGGTCCTATGAAGAATGTGTTTACACGAAGAATACTCCTCACTGGTCCAATATTTTTAAAATAAAATATTTTTAACTTTAAGTTCTGCAGTAAGCTTTTAGCCGTGTGAAATTCCGTTGTGCGTAAAGCCAGAAAAGGAGTCATCGTTACTACTGACAATGCTGCGTCCGCTCGATATGCTTTCATGTCAATACGCCAACATAACACCCAACTTAAAAATTACTATGGTATTATTATGGTATAATTTGACTTTTAGTAAAAGTACAACGTAAATTTAAACGTCCAAGTTGTATTAGTTATGAGATTGACACTTGACAGGGTGAAAAATGTTCGTTTAAATTATTGATTAATTTCTACAAGGTTTTATACACATAGTTAAAATTATTGCTTTGTCAGAAGGCTGAAAAGGTATATAGCGTGACAAAGATCATCAGCATCTTATAAAATGATTGAAAACATAGATCTGAAATATAAAAGCTACGCTTTCGAATAAAGTTGAGTTGTTAGCCTTTTAATAATTATGTATCCTAGCATTTCTTTTTCTGACAAGCATAAAACTTTGGATATTATGCTGGTAATCTTTTAATATATGACATCAAAATGAATTTGGGATTTGAATTGAAAATATACATATGATTCTTTAAAACAATTGTGATAGGAAATCTGACTTTCAGAATCAACAAATAAGCAAGATGATGAAGAAAGTGGCGCCATCCTCCCTCTGATGGGTACTCCAGTTGACACAATCCCTGCAGCACTTAATTGTCTTGATACCAATCGTTTTGTTGTGTTAAAAGGAATCTCAGGATCTGGAAAAACATATGTAGCCAAAAATATAGCAGAGAGTATTGAAGGAAAGAACAGACTTCAAACAAAATGGGTCAATGATACTGATGAAATTAAACACTTAAGCTTTAAAAGCAAAAAAATGATGCTGATTTTAGACGATATTTTTTATGAATTGCAGCCAAAAGCAGAAGTCAATACAACAATATCTATAGTAAATGATCTCATTTCAACAGTCAGAAATTCGAAAGATCTTTATGTCATTGTCACGGTACCATCATACGTATTGAATAAACACTCTGAAAGTTTAAATGAAGATGATTTTTTAAATTCAATAGTTGATTTAGATACCTTAAGCAAGGCGGAAAGAGAAGACATTTTAAATCACCATTTGAAAAAAAATTGTATTAAAGACGAAGAAAATGCCTTAAGTGGAGAGTTGTACATGAGAAATAGAGTCAAATCAACTATAGTGGATACTGCAAAGTGTGATCTAATCGGATATCCATCTTGTATTGCATGGATTTGTAAAGCTCGAAAACAATTTGATCTGAACCTAGCAAACACATTTCTTTCATGTCCAATAACGAGAATCAAAAGTGAAATACATCGTCTACGTGATTCTGACAAATTACAAGAAAGGAAAATGTTCTTCTCACTGGCTGTGATGGCCCTTTGTGGTGGAACTTTGAATGTCGAAAATATAGATGAAAGAATGATCCAGTGTCTTGCAACTATTTTATTCCCTAAAGATGAGGTAACAGAGTTTTATTTAAAGAAAGACGACCATAGTCTCTCATCATTGGAAACCAAATACATCAGAAAAGAAGCTGATGGAAACTATAGATTTCAACTTAATATTGTGAGAAAATTGGTATTTGTAATAGTCTTCGAAAATAATACAGAAACCATCACAGAATTTAAAGAGTACGTAAGTGAAAACTTGTGGAAAAGATTAACGGTTCAAAGAGAGAAATTTCCAAAAGATCTAAGCCAACACTCGACGTTTTTCGTTAAGGTGTGATTGAGGAACTATTTGGAAAAAAAATCTTTCGTATCTTATTTTTGTGCCTGAAATTAAAAAAACAAACAAATAAATTGAATTTAACAGGGTATATCCCTGAAACGCAAAACAATAATACAAATTATACTTCGTTGAATGTTCAATTAACCTATTGTTTTAAAACAATAATCATGTCTGTAAAGTCGCATACTTAGTGATAGCAATTACAAGAAATCAAGAGGCTTTATGAGCCTTGACCTGAGTATAATAAGTTTCTCAATTAATGGCTACTTGGCCCAACACCAAAATGCAACGCTGAGCTCATGTCACAAATATTTACAGTTTGATATGGATTCGCTAATTATTATCAGTCATTCTACTTGTCTCCAACGAGATCAGAAGAAGCGAAGCTATGGAAAAGTACACTATACAGAAAATTTCAGAAGTTCAGAAGATATGTAAAAGTACTCTGTACAGATAATTTTAATATACATGTTTAATTATATACTAGCTTCATGTCGGTGTCTGCCTCTTGAAGCAAAGGGCTTACTAGTCATTACAACCAGGAAAACTATCTGCCCGCTGGATCTTCATAAGCAAAGAAAGATTTTCAATGGTGTAAAATGTTCCATATAACCAACTAGCCCCGTACTAAGGCATAAACTATTGGCTCTAGGACCATGAAATTTGCTTGAGGGGTAAGAGTTAATGATCATATAGACAAATTTACAGCTAGATTTCAATTAGTAAAAAAGATTTTCAAGTTTGACGTCAAAACCTAGCAAAAGTGAAGAATCAAATCTCAACACCGAGCATCATTAGATAAGTCCCGGTGAAATTCTAAAATTTGATATGTTTAATGGCTGGAACACTCCGCAGAGATAATCACGTCATTTTAAGTTAGGTCACGGGGTTGCAGCCCTTTTAAAATTGCCCTAAAACATAATATGAAAATTACTGATACAAAACCCCTACTTATTTTACATTCTCTGAAAAATCTGTGAAACATCTGCATCGTTTGTGTGTAATTAAATCATAAACTTGCCTTTGTTGATGTAACATTTTCAATGTTATTCTCTCGAATTTTATTGGAAAAACATCGTTTTTTAAAACTTGTTTTCAGACGGATTTCATTTCAAAAAATGTCGATAACTTTTAAATGGGGCAGACGAAATTACTCCAACTCTGATCATTTAGCATAGAGATGATTTCAAATAAATATATGTAAGAAAATGTCTTTGGGTTAGTTTCTTGTAATTTAACTGCGGATAATTGCTTATCCATTTAAAAATTTGTAAGAATGACGCTATAAACTATCCGTACGTCACGCTTGACGATGTGAATAGTCGCCCGCGTGGCACAGTGGTAGAGCGTCTGCTCCAGAGTCTCGGAGTAAGGAGTTGATCCACTATGGGACGTGGAGACCGGTCCTTCGGAAGAGACCGTATAAACCGAGGTCCCGTGTCACAGTAGGTGCTGGCATGAAAAAGATCCCTCACTGCTCAATGGCCCTAAGTGCCGAGCATAGGTCAAAATTTGTAGCTCTCAACCTGCAAGTTGTGGCATCTTCATATGAGTGAAAAATTCTCGAGAGGGACGTTAAACAACATACAAACAAACAAACAAACGATGTGAATATGGGTCTGATATACAGTGTAGAAAAAATATCAAATAAAAAGAAAGAAATTTATGTTTCTACATATTTAATGCATAATTTAGATGTCTTAAATGCACATACGTATTGGTAGGGTAACAATGTGTCTTGTTTGAAACGTACTTGTATTAAGCGGGCTCTTAACTGTCTACTAAGATAGAGGGGGAACGGGTAGCGTGCAAGTGTGGCATCCTTAGGGTGATTAAAAAACTGTTTTCTTGCAAAAAATGGGGGAAAATATTAATTAGAGAGAAAAAATCTAGTTCATTTTTTCTGACAAGTAAGAAAATGAATTATCGCCAATTACACCGAAAGTTATATATCTAAATAGAGATAAAAACTCTAGTTAATTTTTTTCTGACAAGTAAATAAGAAAAAAAGGTTACACCACAATTACACCACAAGTTATATATCTAAATATTTATACTGAAGCTTTCTTTCTCATTGTGATGTCGTAATCAAATGTGCACAAAAAAGTTTTCAATTCATATCAACTGTGAACCTAGTTTTAACAACGTCAGCAAACCTGCGACCTAAGTTAACATTATTCAGCGTTATTTTTTTCACATTGAAACGAACGGGACTTCATTGCGTTCTAAGAACCAAATACGGACAAATTATCTCCATTTTTACCCCCCCCCCCCTCCTCTTTGCAAACTTGTGTGCGTTGCTATTCAAGTGTCAAATATACATAAAATATCTCTTAAAGTCGGACGTGCATCATTTGGTAAATATAACCGCTTTAGGACTTGTGTCATTAATTAGTTTGTTATGACAGATGGTCTCCAACTCTTCGTTTTGCTCCTTCTATGGTTAGCTGATTTGTCAGAAAAAAATTAAATCAATGAAAACTTGCATTTCAATATAAGTAAAGTGTTTTGAGTAATCAACAGAATTGATAAACTGGTGCATTTGATTATGTTCAACATTTCTGGTATTTTTTTTTATTTTCGTTAAGCCTGGCATTTGTTTTTCTAATTTTCCAGCAATTTTAGGACACCTTTTATGTTAGCTAAGTGAAAATTTAAGTTTCCTTATGCTTACAATGAAGGGGAGATAAAAGTAATATTTTGAGGAGGATCTAAATATAACATTTATTTAAGCCACATTGTCAAACAGAACTAATTAGTATAATAGTATGCATGATTTGAAATGTCTTCTATGCTTGTACTTCAAGTATCTGTCCGTCGAAACGCCAAATATCTATCCAAGGCACTGGCCATGTAATAATCTAATATATTTTTTCCTAGCATAGCAAAATGCTTGCATGATTTGTTAGTTATGTCCGTGAAACTTGATATAGTATAGTCGAGTTTATCTATGTGTCCCTGTTAAGAAGCGTTTTACAGTGTACTTTTTACACTTAATTATAAGTCTGTGCAAAACTTATCAATGAGATATTACATGTAGGGTAAGTCAGGGTAATTTCGACCACCGTTTAATTTCGACCACAGGAACACAGCACCACACAAAGATCTACGGTAGTGTTGAGACAAGTTTAATTTATTCGTAATTATAGAAAACTATTCCTCAAATTGTGTGTCCTAGTATAATTATTCATCGCAAATATGGCTTGATCAGAGATATGAATAATATTTTTACTATTATTTATGTTTCCAGTTTGACGCTCGAAGTCTCCGTCTTCAGTGCACTTGATTTGATCAAGGAAATGCAAGAGAGACAACTCATACAACCTCTATTTCAGTTTAACCTTGTTCAGCAGTCTACAGCACGAATTAAATAAAAATTGTTTTATTTTTTCTTGGAATATCTTTAAGTTGCAGAATTTGACAAATTTATCTTGGATTTCTCTCAAAATGCACAAGAAACCTCCATTTGATATTGGTCGAAATTACCCCTACTGATTTTAAGGACGCGGGGTAAATTCGACCACTTATTCTGAAATATGTATAAGTTGTCTTTAACAGCTGTTTAATGCAATGCAGAGTTAGATCTTTAAAAAAATGATTATACTTTATATGTACAATATTATCTACATATAACCTTTTATATTAAAAAAAAAATATGTCAGATTAATTATCATATGCATGCCTGCTATAAATATTGTCCGGGCCATTCACGAGGGTGCATCACTGATCGACGTGCGAGAGAACACGGAGTCGGCACTGGCTTTGAATTAACACATGACGAGAGCAATCCAAAAGTTTTCAAACCCGTCAAATTAACAAAAGAGGGGGTGCAGGCAATATTAAATATAAGTTAAAAAAAAATCAGGTTTTTGTAAATTTTTTTTCATTATTACGAATGCGTAAACTTGGACGGATAAGACTGAGGCTATCGAAAACCAACGAACCAGTCGTATTTAGATCGTATCACACAGTCAAACACAAATCCAAATAGTACCCAAAATATCAGAACAACACACCAAAAGAGCTACAACAATCTTGAAACAAAAAAAAACCCCACTATGATGTTATACGAAATAAATGATTTGTTTGAGTTTGTTTTTTGTTCCGGGGGGGGGGGGGGGGGTTCAGAGGACTTTGCTTCCGTAAATCTTTATTTAATTGACTTGATCGAATTTCTCAGGATCTATCTCTTTTAAGAATGAACAAAACACGTAAAATACGTAATACAACGCATTCCAAATGAATGTGTATGTGGTAAAAATTAGTGAAGAAAAATATACGTAATTCCAATGCTATGCTCAAACCTTATACAGATATATACAATCTGAATGATTCTGTTGTGAAAAGACGATATTAAATAAAATTCCTTTTGGGTTGGACAATTTAAAAATCATAAAGAAATTATTTGTGGAATCTGAGAAAATTTTATCTATTTGCATAAGTATATATCACAATTTTAAAATATAGAGTTGGCGAATTAAAAGCAGAATTTAGAATAAAGAATGAGAATTAAGATGTCTGTAAAACGGTATTGAAAAGCTTAAGTAACCCAACTCATTTCTTAACTGTATGGATATACTAGTACTTACCCATTTTAATCTTTTTATTGAGAGAGATAGAGATAGATACACGTATATTCTAAATAGGGCAATATAGTTTCTCGGACCATAATTTTGAATAAAATGCGACAGGTAGAGTTTACTTTCATTGCAAGAGTTATCTTTCTTTTTGATGTTTGTTGTGGTCGAAATTACCCCCAAGTCCGGTCGAAATTAACCCATGCAACATGCTAACCTATTTTTAAACCAATTCATTATTTTTTATGCATTTTAACTACCAAAGCAGAAAAATATGAAGAAAAAAAAATCAATGTAATTTATTCCGAATCTTTTTTAAACTAGTACATTTGAAAGCAGTCGTGTTTTGTGGATTGAAAGCCACAAATCAGCAAAAGTGGTCGAAATTACCCCACTCTACCCTATCAATGATTTATTTCTTTATTAATTATTACAGAATTATTACAGCAAGATTCCAATGCAATGAATTACTACTCTTTTTTGCCGGAAATAAAAGAAATAGAAAATATCTGATACGATACCTGATATCTGATATCTGAAACGTAGAGTTTTAAAGATATTCCAGAAATAAAATGCAACCTTCTAAACGCCTCTGACTATGTCCATTATACACCGAAGACCCGCAGTCTGATAAACAACCGGTCCATTCTCTTTTGACTGGAACTTGATAGAATTTCTTTATTTATTCATTTAATTCATTAATTATTTTTTCATCCATGACATACTTATCATTCATTTCACATGATAATGCTTGGAATGCTTAATGTTTCTATTTATCCAAGGAACATTAATATTACACATTCCCGGTAAACATTCACCGACTAAGAGATGCAAGCATTCATTGCTTTAAATCAAGGATTATGAAACAAACTACATGTATTATTCTAACAAATAATTTTAGTGATAAATAAGATCAACTGTAAAAACTTTATTGTCCTGAAACATTGTGTATTTCCCCCGTTTCGCTTCGGGGCATATACTGTGGCATACCATAGGTTACTTTTACGTAATTGTAGGCATCCTGGTGCCAAATGTAGATAACAGTACCGTGGCTTACTAAGAATTACTATAGATACAGAGCAGACGTACCGTGGCATACTGTGGATATGCGGTAGGTGGCTGTGGAAATGTTGTAGCTTACAGAGAGTGACAGAGGATTTTTATCAGTATTGCAATGAAGTGGCAACTTTGCTTTGTTCTGTGACTACTGAGGAAAATGTCTGTATTTCCTATTATCAGGAAATTCTCTTACATCATATACTCTTTTTAATATTCCATTGTATACATTTCTATGAGCTATTGGCGAAGAATGCTATACCTACTGACGTCACCGGGACTAAAAAGTCAATGGCCTTCTGTTCAATCATCATTATATAAGGCGTGTCCGTATTTTATGGTTATGGATGACGTCATTGACTCCAATGTGGAACTGCAGAGCTCCATAGTAAAATATATGTGTCCATCGCGTCTTAGTACACACTTGCAGATATTCAACATCTACTTTCGTGACTATTTTGTATACCCTAACCACCGATAGGTCAATATATATCATTTAATAAAAAAATCACATATTTCTGAAACGTATCTTACTTTATTTGTAAATGCTTTTTGGAGTTTGGTAAAAGACGTAAACTAGACAGATGAATGAATAAAATAGACTGGTATTGCCTGTCTCTATCGTTCGAAAGAGACAGGTGACTACCGCCATATAAGCCAGGAATTCCTAACTTGATTGATGCGCCATCTATCGCCGCTGCTCTACGCTCTGGAATGGGAAATAATCACAATAAACTATCTGCTGAGTCAGTGAGTCATCCCAGAGACATATAATAGAGGGATTATATGTCTCTGATTATCCTAAACGGATGAATGTTTAAAATGTGTCACTTTCAATTAACAAATGTTGCAGTTTTCTTTTATCCAAGTAATGTATGGTATGTAATGTGATAGGAGCTTCGCAATCTAATTAAAATACCTTCAGGCGAAGCGAAAGGTGTGAGTGAAATTAGGGACCTTTATTATAGGCCTATACTAAATATATAGTATATATGTTAACACTTGTGTTAAACAAAATCTGAAAAAAGGAATATTTGTATTGTACGATAAAGTATTGTGACCGTGTTAGATTGATTGCATCAAAAGCAAATGGAGAGAACTTTTAAAAAGTATGTATTGAAAACGGAATATATGCAGAATTTTTCGAAAAATTAGTGTCAATACTTTTATGATTTGTTTCAAAACATCCCTCACGGTTTATTTTTTTCCAATGCAGTATTTGTACGCTTGGAGAATTTGAGGTAACGATCTCTGCACTCTGTGATCTATTTTGGTTTCCCCGACACATTTAAATTTCTACGTCAGCGAGAGTTTTTATCAGCCAATGAGCGCGACCAGCAGAGGGCTCTTTACATTACTGATCACCTGTCTGTATATCGCGCATATCAGACTGGCAAGCCAGTCTATGAATAGAATGTTTCAACAGTCCTTGTACATAAAAATGTTTCAAACCTTGCTCGTTTTCTTCTGGTAAACACATTTTGAACAAACCTTGCAATTTTATAGTGTATTGCAGATCGATGAACTTTCGTCATAGTGTTATATACTGTACATGTATTTCAGTATTTATTCTTAAACTACATTTACAGGCTTTTGCTTTATTTAAGAAATAAGGAGATTCGAAAATATTCACAGACGAAAACTACCTAACATGAATACGAAGCAAAATCTAGCTCAATGTTTGTTACACATTAAATCGTTTGAAAAAGCATATTAAACCCATGCAATAAAATTGTTTAGTTTATCGATTGTGTTACACACACGTAAGCGATAAAATGCTGGATTTAAATGTGTATGCAATTCAGTCAATGATCTTTAGCAAACTGATTGTTATTAGGTGCATCGATCTTTTTACTAGCCGATCAAAAATTAACGTTTGCAATTTACAAGTAAAATAAGATGTTAAACACAAGTTTAAGACTGTGTCCATATGAACATTGGGAGAAGGCAGCAATGTCGGCTTGTATTCCTTCGGAGAACTTCCATTGTTTACATGACGAATACGACCGGATTGGATGGCTGTGTACCGAACCAATATGGATTGAGAAAGGTTTATGTTTTACAATTATTTATGTACCATTTGTTGGTTAAAAACGACGAAATAAAAATTACTATTATGACAATCGTTGTATATTTCGATTTGTTAAGTCAATCTTATTTGTTGAAAATAACCTTTCAAATGATAAATATTTCTCTTACACGTAGTTTTATTATGAAAATAGGAAGATGCCCTGTTTACAATTCTGGGGCCAAAAAGCTGGATTCTATTTCCTGCAATACAGACAACTGTCCCTCAGGGAATTACAGATCGAATTATGCTTATATAAGTAAGTATGCAGTGTTTGCAAATATGGTCGTCAGCATAGTTTTAATACCTCTCTTTCTTTTGTAAGAAAATGTTTAAACATTTCGGTAATCAAAGTATACAAAGTAAAAAAAAAGCTTCATGAAATGTTTGTTGTCTGGGGAAGAACCAAATTCCTCATTGTAGCTTAGATGACTAATCAATCAACCATTCGATAGTATTTAAACGTTTTGTGTGTGTGAAATTCTGCAATAACAATTCGTGTAACATAAAAACATTCCTATTTGTTTAAATGTTTGTACAAAAAGGTTGTCGTTATCTGCAAAAAACTGAGATAACGTTAAGCTTTGAATAATAAAAGGCAATTTGATCTGGAGTAGAAGATATGAATTGTTCTTGCGATTATTTTTTTCTTGCAATTTGATTTCACAAGTGCTCTGAATTTGCAAATAATGAAAGTGCTTGTTATTCACATTTCTTTTTCTTGTTAGAAAATGGCTGTCGCTTGAACACAAAGAAAACGTAAGTTTACTTGTTTTTTTTTTTTAAAGAATGACTCTAGATTGATTGTATGTTTTACGTCCCGTTCAAGAATTTTTCACTCATATAGAGTTTTCACCATATACCGGTGAAGGGCTTCAAATTTAAACCTTAACTCGTCACTCAGACTCAACAGTAAAGACGACAGTAATTATCAGTATTTATCAGAAACAACTAAAATTATCAGTAACAACAGTAAGAATAACAGTAAATATCAGTATTTATCAGCAAGAACAGCACAGTATCAGTAATTATCAAACATTATCAGTAAAATTTGGGATTCTCAGCACTTTTTTCGTCCAGTAGTATAAGGAAGAACCCTATTGATTTTGAGGTCTAAAGGTCAAAGGTCAAGGTCATAATTTCATACATTCTGTCTTTGTGTTACACTTTCGTTATCTCAAGAAGATTTTGAGCTTTTACAATGAAATTTTGTACCATAACTTCCTATGTCCTCTCTCGCCTCTCAAAGTGTCCTGTCCTGTTTTTATACCCGCACTTTCTAAAGAAAGTTCGGGTATATTGTTTTTACCCTGGTCCGTCCGTCCGTATGTCACACTTTCTTCTTAATCTAACAACTACTACATTTTAAGCAGAATTCAATTAATCTTTTGGAATATGATTGGTGGTGTCCTGTAGATGTGCAATAAGGTTCTGAAATTTTCATTTTCACCCTTGGGATCAAATGGGGGTCGAAAAATGACGTTGTTTTTAATACAAAAAGAACCCTGGTTCCCAGAAATCCTACATTTTATGCAGTAGCCTAATCATCTTTTGGAAGATAATTGGTGGTGTCCTGTAGATGTGCAATAAGGTTTCGGAATTTTTATTTTCACCCTGGGGTCAAATTGGGGGCGAACAATGACGTTTAATGTTTTAATGTCAAAGATTTCATGAGTTATGGTCAGGTTGTCCATTTTCTATTTTGACCTTGAATGAAGAAAGGACAAAGGTAAAAAAAAAATGATGCAGCAAATCTTGTGTAAATTTTTTACATCCATGTTTCAAATTAGAATTCATAATGTCAAAGGGTTCTCAGATTATATCCTGAATTATACTTTCATGTAAAAGAATGACGTTGACTTTACAAATGGATCAAGGTAAAAATTTTGTTGGCATGCACCCTTTTTCCATACCACCTCTCCATTTTTTCAAGATTGAAGTTTTAATGTCAAAGTGTTCTTAAGTTATGGTTTGGAGGTATTTTTCTCAATCTGACCTTGAATGAAGAAAGGAGTCAAGGTCAAGATTTTGGTGCAGAGTCTTGTGTGAATGTCTTCTTTCTATGTTACAAGTTTGAAATCCTAATGATAAAGGGTTCTCAGGTTATAGTCTGGACAATATTTTGATGTAAAGATTAACCTTGACCTTACCAATAGGTCAAAGTCAAAAAAGTTTGGTGGCACCAATCCCACCTCTCTACCACCTATCCATGTTCCAAGTATGAAGTCTTAATGTCAAAGGGTTGTCAAGTTATGACTTAGACAAAATTTGATTGAAGAAGAAAACTGACAAAAACAATATGTAGACTAGTATAGTCTACTTGTCACATCAAAACTGTAGGAGTAGTAGAGTTTTGAAAGAACAATTTTTTCTCTACATTATGGCAATGAAACTTTCACATAAAATTCAACTTTTTTTGCACAGTAAAGCATGCTTATAGCGAATATGCTTATAATGAATTGAAGCTTACAACGAAGCGATTTTCATTCCCTGTGACTTTAAAATAAATATATTGTAAACTTAATGGATATAAGCAGTTACATTTTTAACGAAGCAAAATCATCTGTCCCAGGCACTTAGTAATAAGCGTGTTTTACTGTACTTCCCATGTTTACAAAACTTCGATCCCCTATTATGGCCCCACCCTACCCCTGAAGGTCATGATTTGGACAAAGTTGAATCTACACTGAGTAATGAATTTTCACATAATCTTAAATTTTTCTGGTCCAGTTGTTCTTGAGAAGAAGATTTTTGAAATACCATTAAATTGTCACATATCCTTATATTCCCCTGAAAAAGAACGTTTTACTCTTCATTTGAACAATTGTTTTACACAAGAAAGAATATTTTACATGAGAAATAAAACTCTCTGTGTTTCTAAATATTTCATTCACACCTCTAGTGTGTTTCTTGTTATTTTAACTAAGATAATGATGATTTAATCGTGACTGTTCAATTTTATACAAGCCTATGTATGATAATAATACCCTGAGGGTATGTTTACCTGTCTTCAACAAGTCAGGTGATTGTTTACATTGAGTACTGAGAGAGAGAGAGAGAGAGAGAGAGAGAGAGAGAGAGAGAGAGATTACCCCAGATATATAGCCCCATGCAAAACTTTATAGGCTTGTAATAGCAAATGCTCAGGAGACACAATATTTGAAAAGCAATTTTCTTTCATGCATTGTTTTCAGAAAACTCAAAGCTGAAATTTATACCCATGTCAACATGGTGCAACTTTTATCCATATTGATAAAATGTAAAGATAAAAAGTGTTTTGAATAGCAAACTCAAGCTATCCCATACCATTAAAGCTAATTCAACTACAGGGCTTAATCAATTTTAAGAGATTGTGCAAGACCTGTTCAATTTTTAATCATTCTTAAAATATTTACATATATCACCATTCCTGATTCAAGGGAGAGCTAAGCATATGACCAAAACGTCCATGATCTATTGATTTAATAAATATGTATGATGTGAGAAGATCAGTATATAAAATTGACAAGTGGGAAACGGCCAGGTTAATATTCACAAATTTAGAGTTTTCAACATTTAGGACCATGCAAAAAAACCCCCCTCCTTCCACGTTTCCCCCTTCCCAGCCCCCTGGCCGTTTATTATACAAAATTTATAAGTCGTTTTGATATAAAACAAATTGTGAATAAATTAATACAACAATGTACATGTACAGAATGGCGGGTCTCTGAATGATTTTCATTTTCTGATTCTAGGAGGATGGACTGACCCAATTGGTCATGAATAAAATGTTAAGCAGATCATCACTGACACATTTTTGAAGCAGGTCATATTGTCATAATATCCAGTTTCAGGTTGAGGATGACTTCAAGGGGGTCATAACCTTTATACCATTTAATGCATAATAACTCATGAGGCAATATTGAATTTTCAAGATATATGATCATTTGAAGTTTTGCGGTTGGGAAGGACCTCCTAGGGCCATGACCCCATATATCTTATTTAGTGTGTTATAATACAAAGATGACTTAGGGGCTTTTGCTTCAATGAAAGCTATTTTGTTTCCAGTTCCAAAGAGTGGGAATGACTCCAAGGATTTGCCTCAATGTATAATTTGCCTATGGCATTTCAATGAAATTGACCCTTTTAAAACTATAAGCCCCTTACCATTTTCATTTTTGATTATTTTACCCCGTTCCATACTAAACTTTTAAAATTATATATTCATAATTTGCTTACCGTCTGTTATAATTATACTGTTAACTTCATAGAATAATAAATCCATTTAAAACACACACTATTAATATTCCCACTAGTAATAATGATATAGGTCTATATACACCATGTGCAATCCAATAGTGATAACGGTAAAAGTAGTGCTCATAGTTTGACGTAATTCCAACGCCAAGGCGGGTCTACAAATTTTCCATAAAGGTGTACATTTGTAAAATTTATATTATAATTAAATACAATGTTTTATTTTTACATAAGTTTATGCTATCTATTCCAAATATGACAGGAAAACAGGTGAATATTGGGTGGGGGTGGATTTTTGACAAAGTTGATCGGGTCAAGGTTTGGAAAGGGGTTCTCCGAGTCCTACCCAAATACTGATAAAAATTTGCACAAGTTGTCATTTTGGCATCTAATTTTTTCTAAGTTCATCAAAAAAGCTATGCAATAAAATAAAAATATTTGTTGTTTTGACAATAAATTCAACAAGTTCCAATTATTGGCCAAATCCCCCTTTTCTTTTTACACGAATCTTTAATAAGAGGCCCTTATGGGCTGCATGTTCACGAAAGCGATTTATACTAGAATTAAATCTGTGCCTCTTCCCTGGTTACCAGAATTTGAAGGAGAGTGCATTTAGAGGCAAACACCTTAGAGCGGGTATTACTGTCTTATGACAGCATCTAGTTTTTATTGTATTGAAAGTCGCGTGGCACTCTATTTAGCAAAGAAGCATATGGAGAGTTATTACATATAATACAGGTTGTCGGCGGACTTTATATTCTAATTACATCTATTGGAACTGTTTAGTAAAGGCTAAATTAGACACTATGTGTTGTGTAAAATTTTGACAATATCGAACGTGAATATAAACATGTATATGTACGAAAGTCCATTGAGCTCATTTTCGTAGGTTAAAAAAAAAAACATTTTTTTCCATTATAACGTAAAGCTATCGCGAATAAACGCGAAATTATACATATATAGTCATGTTACTCAGGAACCTGTACATGTGATCTTGACTGATAATTAAGAAACATGAACGCAGACGGGGACTTCTATGAATTTATAAATGACATTTCTTCAGAAGATGTAAAAGAGAATTGATGCGAGAAATGGATAGATTAGTATTGATTTTGCATTTAATCTCAAAACCCTACTAATTAATAAAATGAATATCCCTTTAAAGATTTTCTTGTTTTTCACTTGTTGAATTCAAGAAATTCTTTAGACTGATTTTTTTTTTTCAGGAAGATCTCCACTCGTCGCTTTCTTTTCACTTTAATTTAACCACTAGTAAAGAAATCCATAATTTTAGACTATAGACTATAAATTATACACTTTAGAAATCTGGCATAAAAGTGAGGGAACAATGTATCATTTCATGTGCTTAACGTGTCATATGATGCTTTTAAAAGAATAATTATAATTGGACACTGTTAATCACAAATTTATCAGGGAGAAGGGGTCTACTTTTATTGATTTCCCTCCATGATTTATATATACAAGGGGTTATTAAAAAGACTAGCTATAAATTAAAACTGCTT